GCAGTTAGTCAGATGTCTAGGCTATATTTAGATTTTGTAGATGAAGGAAAACAGGTTATTATTTATTTTTTTGATAAGAAATTTAAGTAGAAATTTTGTTTCTGACATAGCAAGTCTTCTGTATCTAATCAACATTTCTAAACGGTCAAACTCTGAGATTGATGAAACACCAAAAATTTGCAGCTGAAATAAATTGTAAAGGACACAGATCATATATGAAAACTGGTACTACGTTGCTCACTCCTAGAAGCCAACAAGTTCTTCCATATATAAAAAATAATGTACATTTGTTTTAGAAAATTTAGGTAACATGTATAAAGAAGTCATAAAAGCTTGCCAATGTTGGGCTGGGAAGGTGGCTCAGTGGTAGAGCGCTTGCCTTGCATGCTTGAGGCCCTGGGTTCGATTCCCTAGCATCACATAAGCAAAAAGAAAAAAGCCAGAAGTGGCGCGATGGCTCAAGTGGTAGAGCGCTAGCCTTGAGCTGAAGAGCTGAGGGACAGCCCCCAGGCCCAGAGTTCAGGCCCCATGACTGGACCCAAAAAAGAAACAAAACAAACAAAAAAAAACTTGCCAGTCTTTCAGTGTATTTCCTTATAGTTTTTTCTTTTTCTTTTTACCACTTCTGGAGTTTGAACTCAGGGCCTGAGCACTCACTGTCCCTGAGCTTCTTTTGCTCAAGGCTAGCATTCTTTCACTTGAGCCACAGTACCACTTTCAGCTTTTTCTGTTTATGTGGAACTGAGGAATTAAACCCAGGGCTTCATGCATGCTAGGCAAGTACTTTCCCACTAAGCCACATTCCAAACCTAGTTTTTTTCTTCTGTGAGAAGCAATTTTAATAAAACATATAAAACATAGACACGGGTTATGAGTATAATTCAGTGCTAGAGTGTGTGATTATTTGCATGTATGAGGGCATGGCTTCAGTCCCAGAAAAACACACACACACACACACACACACACACACACACACACACACACACACACACACACACACACACACACACACACACACACACACACAGAGAGACAAGGGTACCTGGCTATAGTTAATCTAACTCCTGTCATCCTAGCTCCTTAAGAGGTAGAAATCAGGAGCCTCACTTCTCAAGGATAGCCTAGGCAAAAAGATAGTGGGACCTGCATCCCAAGAAGTTAAAGGCTGGATCTGGTGGCACATATCTGTCTGTGCAGCTGTGTTAGAAGCATAAATAATGGGACTGAGGTTCAATCTGATCCAGGCAAATAAACAGTGTGACTTTATTCAAAATATAATGAAAATACAAAGGACTGGGGATGTGGCTGAAGCAGTAGAGCACTGCCTACTAATTTCCAGGCCCTGAGTTTGTTTAATCCTTGGTACCAACAAAAACAAAGATTGTTTGGACTAAATTAAAAACATTCAAAAGAAGTGTTAAGAATGATAAGTTTAGTCAAATGAAGTAACTAACAAGTCCAAAACAGAATTCTTAAAAGAAAACACTAGAATTCTCATCTTCAGGACTGAATTTGGCTATGAACTTTTAGATAGGAAACCAAAAGTTCAAGCAACAAACAAAAATTCTTAGTCGTAATGCCAGACTAGTCTGTAGTCAGTCTATACTCAGCCTTTAAAATTCATTGTGTGAATCAATGGCTCACACCTATAATCCTAACTAGTTGGAAGGTCATCTGAGGATTGTAGTTAAGAGCTAGCCTGGGCAGGAAAGTCAGTGAGACTCCAACATACCAGCAAAAAACTAGAAGTGAAAGTGTGGCTCAAGTGGTAGAATGCTAGCTTTGAACACAAAAGCTCAGGACCTGCACAAGAATAGAATTTGTTATGAGATAAACAAATGCAAAAAGTTCTAGTGGAAAAAATTCTGTAGCTAAAAGAACCAAAGAATTTGTTATGTGCAATTGATTCCCAACCACATGTATGACCTAAAGAAAAAAATTATGTGTGTGTGTTTGTGTGTGTGTGTGTGTGTGTGTGTGTGTGTATATATACTTGAAAATGTTACTATGAAATGAATAATGTTTACATTTAAACTTTGCATGCCCTCCCATATACTTTTAAGTTATACTTACTATTTAACACGTTGTAAATGCTGTATGAATGTTATGCCATGTTATTTAGGAAATGATGACAGGAAAAAGGTCCTTATAATTTCAGTACAGACACAATTACAATAAGTCCAAATATGTAGTACACAAACAAGACTCAAAGTAAACCAAAAAAAAAAAAAAAACTGAAGAAAGGAAGAACAAATACCTGTGAAATGCAGAAGGCCACCGTAGGGTATGCCTTACAGTTTAGCATTGTTTGTGGATTCATTGTAGTGGTCAGTGCATGGCAAATTGACTTTTGCTTTTTGAAGCTTTCTGTATTTTTCCCCCAAATACTTTCAACCTGTAGCTGGTTAAGTCTACAGATGTGTAACCCACAAATAAGGAGAACCAACTATATAGCATTTGGTGCCGTAAGAGGTTTCAGGTATCTACTAGGACCCTTATAATGTATTACCCTGGGTAAAGGGAGAATGCTGTATGTGACTGTCAGTTTTGACAATAAGAACACATGATCAGTAAGCACATAAAATGCTTAGTGTCTTTTATTAAAGATCCATAAATTATTTGTGTGTGTTAAAAATAAAATTTCTCTTTTGGGTTTAGCAAATTCTGAAATGAGTTTTTGTGGATTTTTTAAAATAAAATTTGTATAACAGAATTAGCCATGATAAAATGTTCCATTCAGTACATTCACAACGTTGAGCAACCATTATCTCTAGGTAGTTCCAAAACACATTCGTTACTCCACAAGGGAAACCTTGCATCTAATAAGCAATCCACTACCATTTCCCTCTTTCCCCATCCCTAGCAACTGCTAATCTGCCTGTTCTGAATACTTCATATAAATAGAATCATAGAATATGAAACCTTTTTGTGGAAATATTACATCTTACTTTAATATTTGTTATTGCATTAATATTTCTGTTGTTTCTACTTTTAGCTGTTAAGCATAGTGATGCTATGAATGTTGGCACAAATGATTTGTTTGAACACTTTCACAGTTCTTTTGGGAATATGACTATGGAAATTCTGATTATGTCTTTGAAGATCCGTTCACAAATTGATTTCCACTGCATCTATATCATTTTATATCCTCCCCAACAATGTATGGAAGTTCTAGTTTCTCCACAATCTGCCAACACTTAGTGCGTGTGTGTGCGTGTGTGCGTGTGCGTGCGCGTGCGTGTGCATGTACAGTCACCAGTTTTGGGGCTTGAATTCAGGGAGCTGTCCTTGAGCTTTTTTGCTCAAAGCTAGTGCTTTGCCACTTGAGCCACACTTCTATTTCTGGCTTTTCTGGTAGTTAATTGGAGGTAAGAGTCTCACAGACTTTCTTGTCTTGGCAGGCCTCAAACCACCATCTTAAAGTCTTAGCCTCCTGAGGGGTTAGCATTACAGGCTACCAGTTGAGTGCCTGGCTTTGCCAACACTTACTCTCTTGTTTTAAATGGTAGCCATGCTAGTATCTCAATGTAGAAAAATGAATTTTGGTCTTGTTCTGTATTTTCTTTCCTTTTTTTTGTTTTTTGGTGATGTTGAGGACTAAACCCCGGGCCTAACATGCTATGCAGACACTTCACAGCTAAGCTATATTCCTAGCTTAATTTGGCTAAGAATTCATTTAAAAAAGGAACCCCAGAAACTCTTAACTTTCACATTGAGTGTTGTAGTTTGAATACAACATGTAATTATAATGTCCAAAATAAGAAAATTTTAAAATACAGTATAGTTGATTTTAATTTGAGTATAAAGAATAATTAAATAAAGATATTAGCAGTAATCAAGCTCAGTGTTTGATCAGTATTACCAAACATTTAATAATACCCAGTAGAATTATAAATAGCTATTTCACAGAGTAATTCATTCCATTTTAGACAGTTCTGTTTGTAGGCCTTAAATTGTATTAAATGTACTAAAAATTGTTGTTTTGAATATACACTATTGAAACTGGTTACTTCCTGTAGCTACTCAAAACAATTCTATTTTTCTCCATAGAGAAAGCTGTATGTTCTCCAAGTTTTCTCTTTTTCTACATCAGATGCTTTGAATTCTTTCTGCTTATCACAATTGAGAGTTATTGTATCTTAACCTACTGTTTTATGAATGTGTTGTAATTTATAGCTAGCCATCCTAAACGATATCTTCTTTGATAAGATATGATCGAAGCCAGTCTGGTAGTTGCATGCCAGTAATTTTAACACTGAGGCAAACTGAAGCAGGACATTTATAAGTTTGAGGCCAATGGTGGGCTATCTCAACAAAACAACACCAACAACAAATCTGACCCATAGAATAGAACATAAAATGTTCATATGTTTATAATAACAGTGTAATTTAGATATGCAAATGAGTAAACAGACTCAGACAGGAAGAAATTTTCCCATGGTCATGTTAACAAGTGAACAAACTGAGCTTCAAGCCAATTTAGATATAATTGCCTTCAAAGCTATGTTTTTTTCCCATAATATTGACATCAGTATTGATGAATGTCATTTGTGTAGCTACTATATGCTTTCCATTGTACATGCTTTCCATTGGAATTCCTATCTGTGTCTCACAACTGACTTGTGAGGTACAGAGTCCCATTTTTCAAATGAGAAAATTGAAGCATAGAAAGTCAAATGATTTGCTGAAGTCCACTCAACAAGTAGTTCAGAGATAGAATTTAGAACTAAATGTGATTCTAAAGACTATGCTGTCTATGCTGTTGATAGTTCAGCAATTAGGGGCATACTTTACAGGTTTCAGTATTTGAAGTCTATATAAGGTAATCTATATGATTAAAATAACTAATTTTGAAATGGTCACAATTTATTTCTCAGAAAACACTACAAATACATTATTAATTTGAAGAGAGCCTTTCTAAAAGACACTTCGCCTATATTTAACAAAATGCTTTTGAAAAGCAAAAGGATAACAGTGTTTTTAAACTTGTTTTCTTTTAGGTCCACCTCATTCATTTAACCGAGATGAGACAATAATCATTGCCTTGGCATCAGTCTCTGTATTAGCCGTTCTGGTAGTTGCCTTATGCTTCGGATACCGAATGTTGACAGGTAAAACAAAACAACCAACACCACTTGTGTCCCATCATTTTTACCAAGTTATTTCCCCTAGTTTTTACCAAAAGTTACAAACTTACATAAAATACCCGTAACCCAACTCCGACTGATATTACCCATGTGTAATAACAGTTGGAGTTATTTCTCTGCATTCCCACTCAGTGCCTCTTTTCATGCCACTGAGTTACTTTGTATAACATAGATCCATAAATACTTAATATAAGGACTTAAAATACATAACCATAATGCTATTTTTACATCTGAAAAAGGTAATAAGTCCTCACCAAATGTCTGTAATCAGTTCTAATTAAATGTTAGGTTTGATGACATTTAGTGTATAAGCATCCATTTATTCTGTTAAGTGATTCTAATATAATCTTGAACTTTTTGCAATATCTTTTAGGATTTCAAACACACTATTGATAGAAGCAATTCACAGAATTCAGCTTTCACACTGTTTATTATGTATCTTAATTTATCCATGATTCCTAGTTTAATAAATACTTTGTTTCCCTTCTGATTCTCTTCTTTTTAACGCTAGTATTTTAAAATGTGATAAAGGTTGTTGTATTAGGGAAACCACATGTAGTCACTGCTTTTTCTTGTTGTATAGGAGACCGCAAACAAGGTCTGCACAGTATGAACATGATGGAGGCAGCAGCATCAGAGCCCTCTCTTGACCTAGATAATTTGAAACTGTTGGAGGTAAGGCTGTTCTCATACTATGGGCTACTTATCACCAACTACTCAGATGCTATTTTAGAAGTCTTATTAATCCTGAGTTTTTAATGCTTTTTATTACAAATTACTTGATAAGGATAACTCCAAATCAGGGATTATTCCATATGAATGATTTGTCTAAATCATTTTTAAAACCTTTTATTTTGGAAGAAAAACATAAAAACAAAGTTAAAAGGCCAATTTTTTTTAAAAGTTCAAAATAGAAGGAAAGAATTGATAAACAACTGGTATAAGGTAATATGAATGAAACAATAAAAATAGACAAAAGAGGGTTGAGTGCTGGTTGGCTCATACCTGTAATCCTAGCTACTCAGGAGGCTGAGATCTGAGGAGTGTGGTTTGAAGCCAAACTGGAAAGTCTGTTAAACTTTCACCTCCAATTAACCTCTAAAAAACTGAAAGTGGAGCTGTGGCTCAAACAGTAAAGTGCCATTCTTGAGCAAAAAACCTCAGGGATAGTGCCCAGGATCAGTACCAAAAATAACTGAAATAAAATAACATATATAAGTATTATATAAATATGTTTTATATATAATATAAATTTTGTTAATTATATACAATGTGTATACTATATCGTATATAAATACATATAATATGTATTATATTATGAATATATAAAAATTATATATACAATATACAGAATACCTGAAAATTCACAAAAGAAGATGGCTAATAAATGAGCAATAAAATACTAAATTACTAGATGAAAGAAATAGCAATTAAAACATGGAATATTATGCAAGATTTGTTTTTAATATGTTTTGATATACCTTTTAAAATTGTAGTCCGCTTTAAATTTTTGTCTAGAAATAATTATATAAGCTAGGTACCAGTGGCTCCTGCCTGTCTATAATCCTAGCTACTCAGGAGGCTGAGATCTGAAGATTGCAGTTTGAAGCCAGCCCAGGCAGGAGAGTCCGTGAGAATCTTATCTGTAAAAAATTACTAAAACTGCTAAAAGTAGAGCTGTGGTTCAGTTGGTAGAGTGCTAGCCTTGAGCAATAAAACTCAGGGACAACTACTCAGGCCCTGAGTTCAAGCCTCAGGACAGGCAAAAAAGAAAGGAAGAAAGAAAAATGTAGAGCAAATATTCTTAAATAAATGATAGTTAATCCAAAACCAGTTTTAGTTAAAAAAAAAATCCCCAGAGGTCGAAGATTAAGAGCATAGGTTACATTTTTTCTGGTTTGTTGAGTACTGAGTGATTTTTTTTATTGTATCTTAGATGTTGTGATTGTTATATTGTGAAAACCCTGATATTATTCCATCATGTACTAATTTTTGTTGTTTCAGTAAGCTATTAACTTGTCTGGACATACACTATAAACTTGTCTCTTGAACAGAAGCATGACTCACAATTTATTTATACCTAGTGTCTGTCTCACGCATTTATTGGGTGGCCCCGTCCTGTTTGTCCTGTCGCGTTCCCCTTCATGGCTTTCTGCTTTTAGGATTTCCCCTCACTTTCCAACAGCTCTAGTTGCTTTAGATTGTATCCACTTTTTCCTCAGGCCAAAAAGGTGGGTTTTCCTCTCACTGTTTTAGTTTCATTGCATACATATGATTTCAACCTTCCTTCAAACTAAAAATCTATAAAAATGGGCAGCTCAACGCATACCATTCCTTTCTTTTCACCTTTGATAACTCCTAGAATCTGTCTGCTTTTGTTTATTCTCCAAGACTTTAAGATATTTTTTGGTTTTTGTTTTTAATTTTATCCATAGTTTATACTTGTTACCTTGGAAAAGACTAGAGTAGGTATCAGCATCCTCAGTTATATCACATAGAGACTTTAGTAGTTTCTTTTTTGGTTTTCTTGTGGTGCTCAAGATTGAACCCAAGGCTTTGTGCATGCTTGGCAAATGCTCTACCACTGAGCTACATTCTCAGCTCACTAGTTTCTTGATAATGCTATAAACTATAACCAATAGAGAGCTGTGGCATTGTCATATTGATTTGTATTATAGTAAGTTTTAAGTGTTCGCTTTCAATATGAATTAATACCTTGCCTTTTTTTAAAAACAAACTTACAGCTGATTGGACGGGGTCGATATGGAGCAGTATATAAAGGTTCCTTGGATGAGCGTCCAGTTGCTGTAAAAGTGTTTTCTTTTGCAAACCGTCAGAATTTTATAAACGAAAAAAACATTTACAGAGTGCCTTTGATGGAACATGACAACATTGCTCGCTTTATAGTTGGAGATGAGAGAGTCACTGCAGATGGACGTATGGAATATTTGCTTGTGATGGAGTATTATCCCAATGTAAGTTTTTCATAAAAAATAAATTCTTATTTATAATAATTGTCAATAAGATTTTGAAGAAGACCTCTGTAACATAGAACATTGGTGGTTTTTCTTGCTAGTTATTATGTTCTACAGTGAGGTTATGATTTCATGCCAGAATTTGAATCAAACATACCACTTAGCTGGGTGTGATGACACACATCTATAGTCCCAGCACTGGGGAGTGGAAGCAGGAATATGGAACATGTTCAAGGCAACCTGGGCTACATAGTAGATCCTATATTTAAAAAAAATTATAGTGCTTATTCAGCTCTCTCCCACTTTCTTTTTATTCTTTTTTTTTTCCTCAGTGAAGGAAGCATTACTTTGACATTCATCTTAGCAGAAATTTTTGAATAGCACAGATAGATGCAGTCATCTAATATCATTAGACAGTTGGCTCTAGGACTATCTTTTTGCTCCAACAGATGTTGGTCTCTTAAATAAAAATAGCCAGTAGTGTTATATATAACCCATGAATAATCAATCTCTTGATTTATATTGTAAATACTGTGTTAATAGTTGTTTTACTATATTGTTATATTAAATGGAAATTTTTGATTTTTTTCTTTTTGGTGTGTTAGGGATGGAATCTGTGCATGATAGGCAAGAACTATACCCTATACACTCAGTTCCATCCCCAGCCCCTGAGCAATATTTCTTTTTTTTTGTCATGGGCTTGAACTCTGGGCCTTGGTGCTGTCCCTCAGCTCTTCAGCTCAAGGCTAGCACTCTATCACTTGAGCTACAGTGCCACTTCCAGTTTTTCTGGTGGTTTATTGGAGATAAGAGTCTCACGGACTTTCCTGCCCAGGCTGGCTTTGAACCGTTATCCTTAGATCTCAGCCTCTTAAGTAGCTGGGATTACAGGCAGAGCCACTGGTGCCCAGCAGAAACTATTTACTAACTTTGCTTAATATTGATTCATGGAAGTGGTGCTGTAGCTCAAGCCGTAGAGTGCTAGCCTTGAGCAAACTAGCTCAGGGACAGCACCCAGGCCCAGAGTTCAATCCCCGTGACTGAAAAAAAAAGCAAAATTGATTCATTAGATCTTGGAATTCTAGCCTATGCAAATTACTTGTAAGATTATTAACTTACTGCTTCATGTTAAAATAAATTAATTTTCCTTTTTTATATATATTTTTCCCCACTGTATAGGGATCTCTCTGCAAGTATTTGAGCCTCCATACAAGTGACTGGGTAAGCTCTTGCCGATTGGCTCATTCTGTGACTCGAGGACTGGCTTATCTTCACACAGAATTGCCACGAGGAGGTAAGATAGTGAATAAATGAATGACCCTCATATGAGTTCAAAATTCACAGAGTTTTTAATTATATCTTCAAAGTAAACATATAATTTCTATTATTAGAGATTTGTTGTAAGCCAAAAGAGCCAGCATGAGGAAACATATTTGAAATGTAAGGGGTAGAATGAGAAAAAGAACTTTTAAGACTCTAGAGAGGGTATGAATCCCATTAAGAATGTGATTAAAAGCTGGGTGCTGGTGGCTCAGACCCATAATCCTAGCTATTCAGGAAGCTAAGTTCTGAGGCTCATAGTTCAAAGCCAGTCTAGGCAGGAAAGTCTGTGAGATTCTTATCTCCAATAAACTACTCAGAAAAAGCTAAGTGGTTTTGTGACTCAAGTGGGAGAGCACTAGCACATGTAGGCTTAATTTTGAAAAAAAAAAAGTTTTTTGTGCTAGGGGATATAGCTCAGTGGTAGAGTGCTTGCCTAACATGTACAAGGCCCTGGGTTTTGTTCTCTACTCATAAAAAAATCAAAAAGAAAATTTTAGGGCGTCTTTAGACTCTTTAAGTCTACTTATGGACATTAGGTTAAAAATGCCTTAGTTAGGCTATATTTTCTTTGCACTTATTTATTTTATAAACTACAATGTATAATCACTTGTTTGAGTATCACATGTATCTTTAGTCTATTATGTTGGCTTTTAGATAAAACCCAAATATATAATTATTTCTTAAATGTATAAGTGTTATCTAGAACAAGGTTTGGCTAGATCTTTAGGGGAGAGGATGGCAATGATAGTAACTTCATTAAGATTTTTTTTTTTGGGGGGGGGTCGGGCATTGGACCTGAACTCTGGGCCTGGGCACTGTCCCTCAGCTCTTCAGCTCAAGGCTAGGGCTCTACCACTTGAGCCACAGCGCCACTTCCAGCTTTTTTCTTTTTGCTTATGTGGTGCTGAGGAATCGAACCCAGGGCCTCATGCAACACCTTTTCAGCCCTGAGATTTTTTTTTTAGGCTAGATGTTGCTGACTCCAACCTGTAATCCTAGCTACTCAGTACTGAGACCCAGAGGATCCCTCTTCATAGCCAGTCCAGGCATAAAGTCCATGTGACTCCATCTCTAAAATCACTAGTAAAAAGCTAGACTAGAAGTGTACTTCAAGTGCTAGAGCTCCAGCTAAGCAAGCAAGTTACAGGCTTGAGGCCCTGGGTTCAAACTCCAGGCTGGGCAAAATAAGACAATCCTAGCTACTCAGGAGGCTATAAGATCTGAGGATCACAGTTCAAAACCAGCCTGTGAGACTCCTATCTCCAATAAACCACCCAGAAAACTGGAAGTAGCGCTATGAGTGAGTGCTTGCCTTGAGCTGAACAGTTGAGGGATAGTGCTTAGGCCCAGAGTTCAAGCCCCATGACTGACAAAAAAACAAAAACAAAAAAACAAAAACAAAAAAACAATTTTTTCTTTCTAAGAATCAAAAGAGAGTGCTTGGGGTGTAACTTAGTGATGGGGCACTGGTCTAGCATGCATGAAGCCATAGGATCAATCCCTGATACAAGGAGAAGTGGGAAAATGAAGAAGAAAAGAAAGAAAAAAAGGCAAGGGAACTTGAATGGGTCTAAAGAGAAGAGGGAGAGAGGGAGGGAGGGAAGAAAAGAAGGAGGAGAGGCCCAAAGCTCCTGTATTTCTTCTCCACCATCCTTATATGTGTCTTTCATTTTCAGAGGTACCTTATTACATTCATGCTCTATTCTATACAACAAAAGTAAAAGGAGGGGTGTCCCCTTCTACCCAAGAAGACCCTTTTTATGCTTATGTTTTATTTCCCAGGATGAATCCACACTTACCTGCAAAATAAACTGGGAATATAATATTTGTTTTCCTATGTTGCTCTGTATACTGGTGCCTCAGATAGTTTTGGGCTTGGTTACTAAGTAGGAAAGACAATGTTTAGTAGGGAGTCAATCTTTGCCACTACTTTATCAGAACTATGTTGTATTCCTTGTCACTACCATGGTCTTCCTCAGCTTTCATACAGTTTTGCTAGCTGGTCAAAGCATCTCTTTTTAAAACATTTGCTTTCTCACTTTGTTTCAATTTGCTCTCACATCACAAGCATCCTGAATTAGCCTGGCTGTGATCATCCTGTGCCTGCGCTTTCTGAAGCTTTTATCCCTTACCACATTTTCTTACTGTAATCCTGTAGCCATGACATTGTCTTTTCAGTTTCCCTGACCTCTTTAGTGAAGAGGATTTTAATGTATCAGTTTCTTAGATCTTTGTTCCGTTACATAATAGAATGGATCATCTTTTCTAGCTGATGCTTCATATATAAATAATTTCTCCTGAATAATTTATCAGCTCATTTATCTTGACATCTTGCTCTTCCTGAGTACAGGAAGTTACTGCCTATATCAGCAACTTGATGCACTTACTTAGTGCATCAGCATATTAGCTATTGGAATGTATTCCCTTGCTCTTAAATATTATAGTTCCTTTTAAAATCTGGCTTAGTACAGAATTTAAAATACCATCCTTAATCCCCTTTTAAGGATTGCATGATTCAGCAAGGTTTCAAGGCAAACATTGGCTAAAATTTTTATTTAAATAGAACTCTTTACTCTCAAACATTTAACTAATGAAAAACCTAGTTACCCCTTTGGGTGCTTCGTTTTTTGTTTGTTTAGTTTTAGCAGTACTGAGGGTTGAACTCAGGGCCTTGCTCTTGCTAGGCAAGTTCTCTGCTATTTAAACCATGATCCCAATTTTATATTACACTATTTTTTTAATAATTTTTATTGTGATTGATTACATAAATTTCACAGTATTGTGAGATAGTGATAGTTAAAGTCACAAAACATTTTAACCTTCATGAGGCAAATTGTCATTATCGTGGTCTATAAAGTTTGTGACAATACAACGATTTCTTCCAAATCAGCTGATACGTACATTTCTTTCTTTTTATTTAGTATATTACACTATTTTAAAACATTTCAAGCTGGCCAAGTGCCAGTAGCTCATGCCTAGGTACTCAGGAGACTGAGATTTGAGGATCACAGTTTGAAGCTGACCCAGGCCGGAAAGTCTGTGAGATTCTTCTCTCCAATTAACCATTAAAAATCTGGAAATAGAGCTGTGGTTCACTAGCCTTGGGCAAAGAAGCTCACAGACAGTATTCAGGCCCTGAGTTCCCAGGCCCAAGACCAGCACACCCTTTCCACCACTCTCCACCCCAACAAAAAAAAAAAAAACAACCCTCAGACATTTAAAGAATCCCTTTAGAAAATTCAGGGCTTGGAAGCTGTCCCTGAAGGGTTTTTTGCCTAAAGGTAGTGCTCCACCATTTGAGCCACAGCTCCACTTTGATCTTTTTGATGGTTAGAGATAAGATCCCATAGACTTTTGTGCCTATACTGGCTTTGAACTATGATTCTCAGATCTCAGCCTCCTGATATAGCTAGGATCACAGGGGTAAGCCACCAACACCCAGCTGAGAGACTAATTTTTGAATTGGTTTAAATAATGTAACTGAAGCTAGGTGCTGGTAGCTAATGGCTGTAATCCTAGCTACTCAGGAGGCTGTGATCTGAGGGTCACAGTTCAAAGCCAGCCTGAGCAAGAAAGTCCGTAAGACTCTTATCTCCAATAAACCACCAGAAAACCAGGAGTGATGCAGTGGCTCTAGTGGTAGAGTGCTAGCCTTGAGCTGAAGAGCTCAAGGACAGCACTCAGGCCCAGAGTTCAAGCCCCACAACCGGAAAAAAAAATGTAACTGAAATCATACCGTATCATGATTTCCTTTGAGATACTTGCCTAGTAAGGTGCTGTTTCTAGGGAAAGATAATACTGTGTTCTACCCATTGCCTCATACTCTTAAAAAAAAATTAAAATGGGTACTTAGGGAACTTAAAAGGAAAAAGCCATGTCAGAGGAGTAGTCTGATAACATTATCTTTTCTCTTTACTTCACTGCTTTCTTCCTCTAATCTGTTTCTTCCTATCTTTTTTTGTTTTCATCTCTTTTCTTTTTTCTTTTTAGGAAGAGTAGGAAATAGACTTTTTCATTCTGGTTGCCTACCAACTTGTTGCATACATTCCCTATCATTAGTTTTCCCTGAAGTATAGATACTTTAGTTTATAGATTGTGAACAGTTTCCAATTTTACTACAAAAATTTTCATATGAATATCTGAGTTCACGATTGTACCATAGTATTTATATCCACAATTTTTTGGGGGGGTCCAGTCCTGGGGCTTGTACTCTGGGCCTGGGCGCTGTTTCTCAGCTCTTCAGCTCAAGGGTAGCGTTCTACCACTTGAGCCACAGAGCCACTTCTGGCTTTTTTCTTTTTGCTTATGTGGTGCTGAGGAATGGAACCCAGGGCCTCAGGCATGCAAGGCAAGTGCTCTACCACTGAGCCACCTTCCCAGCCCTGTACCATAGTATTTATGTTGTAATATGGTATAGTATGTTTTTGCTCGGAACAAGTGATATAGCTGTTACAGGAATTTCATTGAAGCTAAGTTAAACACAAGTTTGGGATGATTGAAACAGTTAGTAGAAAATGGTAAAAAGAGACAGAAGTCAACTCAGTTAAAGAAACTTATTAGCTCCTGTTTTTTCTTCCAACTCTTCTGTTTTTGTTTTTGTTTTTTTTTAATGTCTGTATTGGGGTTTGAACTCTTGCTATTGCTTTGGCTTTGTTGTGCAAGTCTGTCACTCTATGGGGCTGGGAAGGTGGCTCAGTGGTAGAGTGCTTGCCTTGCATGCATGAGGCCCTGGGTTCGATTCCTCAGCACCACATAAGCAGAAAAAAAAAGCCAGAAGTGGCACTATGGCTCAAGTGGTAGAGTGCTAGCTGAAGAGCTGAGGGACAGCGCCCAGGCCGAGTTCAGGCCCCACGACTGGACCCCCCCCCCCAAAAAAAAGTCTGGCAATCTACTACTTCAGCCACATGTTTACTTCCTTGAATGCTTATTAATATACTAATAAAAAATACATCTAACTATTGAGTGTACTTATACCTATATGCAAATATTCAATAAATTTACTGACTTTATTCCCATTGCTCGATTTCTTTGTATGCCTAAGGAAATGTTTTATATTTCAAAAACTTATAGAACTTGTTCTCATTTCGACAGCTATGGTTTTATTTGAGGCCTAAATAAGGGTTCTTTATATATGTAGAAAAATAATGTAATGTTTCAGATGAGGGCCCCAGGTAGATCCATTCTTTGTAGTCAGAAAATATTGTATATATATTCTTGCAGTGAGGATTTTGTAGCCTGGTGATGAGGGTAATCAAGAATAGAATGAGCATAACACTGCTTTGCTTCCATAAAATCAGAGAATAAATTTTCATATCTTGCTGGGAGATCCCAGCTCCTCCACTTGTTCTCCCAATTCATTATAAATTATTTCTGGTTAAAGAGTTAAAGTGGGGGCGCTGGGAAGGTGGCTCAGTGGAAGAGCACTTGCCTTGCATGCCTGAGGCCCTGGGTTCGATTCCTCAGCACCCACATAAGCAAAAAGGGAAAAGTGGCGCTGTGGCTCAAGTGGTAGAGTGCTAGCCTTGAGCTGAAGAGCTGAGGGATAGCACCCAGGCCCAGAGTTCAGGCCCCATGACCGGACCTCCCCTCCCCCCCCAATAAAAAAGAGTTAAAGTGGGCTTAGGTTAGAGACTTGACTAAACCCAAGGCAGAACTGGGATGTGTTGTTACCCATTTGACTTGTTAAAAATATAGGAAAACTAGTATTCATACAAAAATTTAGAGCCACAGTAGCTTTTCATTAATAACTGACTAGCTGACTCTTGTGTGTGTGTGTGTGTGTGTGTGTGTGTTGATATTCATACCAAATATTTCTTTATGTGCTATAGAAATGTGTGTGTCAATGAACATACCAAATATTTCTTTATGTGCTTCAGAAATTAAGAGAAAACAGTTGTGTTAAGAGTTGTAAGCAACATATTTGCTATTGGTTTCAGCTAAATGGTTAAATGCTTTATTTTTATTTTATTTTATTTTATTTTTGGTAGGTCCTGGGGCTTGAACTCTGGGCCTGGGCGCTGTCCCTCAGCTCTTCAGCTCAAGGCGAGCGCTCTACCACTTGAGCTACAGCGCCACTTCCGGTTTTCTGGTGGTTTATTGGAGATAGGAGTCTCACGGTCTCTCCTGCCCAGGCTGGCTTTGAACCGCGATCCTCAGATCGCAACCTCCTGAGTAGCTAGGATTACAGGCGTGAGCCACCAGCGCCCGGCGGTTAAATGCTTTATTAACTATACATGTAATAGTTACAGAGCAAAATGCATTGGAAAGCAGTGATTTTTATTTTTCCTTTTTTTGTGGGGTTTTGCTTTTGTTTTGCATTACTAGGGTTTGAACTCAGGGCCAAGCACTTGCTACCTGAACCTCTTGAGCTATTTTGTTTGTCTATATGTTCATTTCATCCCTAATAGTTCTATTTAAGCATTAGTAAATACTTTAAATTATCCAAACAGATCATTATAAACCTGCAATTTCCCATCGAGATTTAAACAGCAGAAATGTCCTGGTAAAAAATGATGGAACCTGTGTCATTAGTGACTTTGGGCTGTCCATGAGGCTGACTGGAAATAGACTGGTGCGTCCAGGAGAAGAAGATAATGCAGCCATAAGTGAGGTGAGTAATACAAAATACTGACATGCTTTGAAATGTTTATTTTTATATACTGCCAATTATAGAATATTAAAAATTACAAAGGTATGATGTACCAAATGTATGAAGGCCTTTGTGAAGTTCATCTTGAAAATCATTGTCATTCTACCTCACTTTGACACAGATATTAGGAATAAATAAGTATGAATTGACTTTATTTGCTTGTTTTTCTATGTTTGTTTTAGTTTTTTTTGAGGTAAGGTCTTGCTATACAGCCTACACTGGCCTTGACCTCAACACCCTTCTTCTTCCCCTTCCTGAGTGCTAAATTTATAGGCATACACCTCTACATCTAGCCAGGAATTTGTTACAAAGCAAGAGTAAAGTTACTGAGTTCATAAAATGACTATCGACCATCTGATAATCTCCAATACAGTGTCAACATATCCTTTCTGACCTTTCTGCTGTGTGTGTGTGTGTGTGTGTGTGTGTGTGTGTGTGTGCGTGCGTGCATGCATGCACGTGCTCCTGTACACAAGAGTGCTTATACATACATATGTATGTACATAGTTGTTAATTTAAAAATACTAAATTATGGACTGGGAAGGTGGCTCAGCGGTAGAGCGCTTGCCTTGCATGCTTGGCCCTGGGTTTGATTCCTCAGCACCTATGCAAAAAAGAAAAAAGTTGGAAGTGGCGCTGTGGCTCAAGTGGTAGAGCGCTAGCCTTGAACTGAAGAGCTGAGGGACAGTGCTCAGACCCAGAGTTCAGGCCCCATGACCGGACCCAAAATAAATAAATAAAAATACTAAATTATGTATAAATTGTTTAGCAATTTTCTCATGATGTGTCTTACAGCACCTAAAGTTGATACATATAGGGACATCTAGTCCATTTTATTGATTGATAAATTTACTAAATTTACTAAAACTGATTTATCACTATTTAGTTGGGAAGGATATTGTAGACATTAAAAAATAAGTTGTTTAAAGGTTCAGTAACATGCTTAGAGTCAAATAATATTAATATGACCACAGTATACATATGACTGTTGATCTAATGTCTACCCTTCAAAATATGCTATATTCTGTTTCTAAAAAAATGTATCTCCAATTTCAATCAGGTTGGCACAATTAGATATATGGCACCAGAAGTGCTAGAAGGAGCTGTGAACCTGAGAGACTGCGAATCAGCTTTGAAACAAGTAGACATGTATGCACTTGGGCTCATCTATTGGGAGATATTTATGAGATGTACAGACCTTTTCCCAGGTAAGAACTGCTATCAAAAGTTGATATACCAGGCCCTGGTGGCTCACACCTATAATCCTAACTATTCAGGAGGCTTAGATCTGAGGATTGTGGCTCAAAGCCAGCTCTGGTAGGAAAGTCTGTGAGATTCTTATCTTCAGTTAACCACCAGAAAACTGGAAATGCTGCTGTGGCCCAAAGTGGTAGAGCACTAGCCTTGAGCAGATAGAACTTAGGGACAGTGCCCAGGCCCCGAGTTCAAGCCACATGACTGACAAACAGTAACTTGGTATGTATTTTGAGCTGATATAAAATACCTTTCTTCTTACTTACATTAAATTTTCATATAATAAATCTTTTTCCTTTCATTTAAACCTTTAGTTCATTGCCATCTAATGTTCGGAAACATTAGCAGAATATGTAAACTGGGAAACATGGTTAAAAAGACTTCAGGTTTCCATCTGAGTACAATTTAATTAATTGCTAGTAGTAGCTTTTCTGTTTAGTCTCTGATTGCTTTAGCAATCATTTTCCTAATGTACCCTCTGATCATTTGAGACATGTTTGTTCCTTCCTTCCTTCCATTAATTTTTGTTTCTTGTTTTGACTATGTAAGAACTTAGTAGAAGCAATTCATTATTTATGAATGTGTATTCTTTTTTCATAGCCCTTTTCCTTTGCCTTTCTTTCTTCCCTTCTTTTCTTTTTTCCTTTCTTCCGTCTTTCCTCCCTCCCTCATTCCCTTCCTAGTTTCCTCTCTACTTTTCTTCCTCTCTTCCTCTTTCCTTTTAATGAAAGAATGATTATTTAATGTGATTGCTTGTTTGAGGCTTTCTAGAAATAGTCAAGTGGACTAATAGTTTTTCTCCCTTTGTTGGGATTACATCAAACTTTAACTACTAATCTATGTACTTCATTTTTCTAGATAAAGAAGTTTGATATATGTGTTCTCTCTAATAGGAATAGACCCATTAAAAGAATAGAAAAGGGAAGCAGCATGAACAATTGATGAAACAGAGCTATTTAATAAAGCTAGATTAATAGGAGATTGAATTGTTTTTGCTTTCAAGATACTACTAATTAAAAATTTATAATTCTAAAACAATGAAATTAATTAAAGATTATTTACATTGTAGGTCAGTTAGTTTGCATTATAGCATATTTTCTAGTTAGTTGGAAGTACAGAGTCATTGAGATATTTTTCCAAAAATAACATGTTAATATCACAAGTACTCCATTATTAAATTTTTTTTTCTTTTTTTGGGTCCGGTCGTGGGGCCTGGACTCTGGGCCTGTGCGCTGTCCCTCGGCTCTTCAGCTCAAGGCTTAGCACTCTACCGCTTGAGCCACAACACCACTTCCGACTTTTTTCTTTTTGCTTATGTGGTGCTGAGGAATCGAACCCAGGGCCTTAGGCATGCAAGGCAAGTGCTCTACCACTGAGCCACCTTCCCAGCCCCTCCATTATTAAAATTTTATTACAAAATTTTTTATTGTTTTTGTTTTCTTGACATTCTAATTCAGAGTTTGAGTAATAGAAAAATGTTTAATTAAAATTATTCTTTCATCAGCATTTCTACACACTGTCACTATATTTTTTAAAAACTACTATATTCAAAGATTCATTATTCCTTCTGATGTTATCAATAAAAAGAGCAGCCAGGCACTAGTAGCTCATGCCTGTAAACCTAGCTACTCAGGAGGCTGAGATCTGAGGATTGTGGTTCAAAGCCAGCCTGTGTAGGAAAATCTGTGAGACTCTTATCTTCAAATAACCACCAGAAAACTGGGAGTGGTGCTGTGGCTCAAAGTAGTAGAGCACTAACCTTGAGCAAAAAGAGCTCAGGGACAGCACCCAGCACCCCAGCCGACATAAAGAATAGTAAATAAAAATAAAAAGAGCACTATTAGGGACTAGGGGTATAGCTCACTGATAGAGCATTGCCTATCATGTACAAGAATATGGATTCAGCCGGGCACTGGTAGCTCACACCTGTAATCCTAGCTACTCAGGAGGCTGAGATCTGAGAATCTCGGTTTAAAGCCAGCCCGAGCAGGAAAGACCGTGAGACTCCTATCTCCAGTAAACCACTAGAAAACCGGAAGTGGTGCTGTAGCTCAGGTGGTAGAGTGCTAGCCTTGAGCTGAAGAGCTGAGGGACAGTGCCCAGGCCCAGAGTTCAAGCCCCACGGCCAAAAAAAAAAAGAATATGGGTTCATTTCCCGGTGAGAGATAAGAATAGAGGAGAAAGAAATACTGGTTGTTTGATTAGGGAATTATAATTAAGCCTTGTTTGTAGAATTTTTGCAGATATGTAAGATGAATTAAAATAGAAAAGACTAAAATGTTGAAATTAAAAAGAAATGGAGAGTTCTTATTTAATAAGGACAGTTTTCATTTGCAGATAATGGAAAAAACATTCTAGTCATAGTTAGTGGTAATGGTTGCACAACAGTATGAAGGTACTGAGTGCCACATACCTGCATAGTCAAAAATGGATAAAATGCTATTTCTTATTCATATAAAAGAATAAAAACAATTATATTGGTAATCTATAATGTTAACATGAGGAAGAAGAGGCACATCTAAGACAAAATTCAAAGCAGCTTTTGGATCTGGTTCTGAACTGTGGGGGATTGCCCTCCCCTAGTAGAACAAATGAAGAGAATTGGTCATTGAACACCAGATTTGGGGATGTTTCCTCTTCCAGATAGATTAATTAGGAAGACAAGATAAATGATCATAAAAGTAGTGAGAAAACTTAGATATTAGAGTATCTTGGAGGTCACTTAGAAATGTAAAAGTGAACGAAAGGATGGGTTAGGAGTGATGGGTGACAATGTCAGACACCTTGTATTCATATACTGTTTTGTAGAAGGGGAACTTCTTTGTGCAACTACTTAAAGATGATAATAATAAAAAAAGATTTTAAAAAAGAACCAAAATTTGGTGGAACATGCCTACATTCCTAGCTCATAGAAGGCTTAAGTAGAAGGCTCCCTACTTGGAGGCAAGTTTAGCCTATATAGGGAGACCTTGTATCCAACCCATATCCCAAGTCAAACAAACAAAAAACAACAATGATAAAATTTATGAAAGCAGATGTAGTTGAAAGATCAAGAAGAATTAGAACTGAGGAATTATTCTTGAACCAGAGTAGGAGGAGCCTCTCAGTATTCTTAAGGGAGTTTCTAATAGAGAAGAAAAATTATACTACAGAGAATGTAAGAAGAAAAGTGTTAATAGCTGGGCGCCGGTGGCTCATGCCTGTAATCCTAGCTACTCAAGAGTCTGAGATCTGAGGATCACAGTTCAAAGCCAGCCCAGACAGAAAAGTCCGTGAGACTCTTATCTCTAATAAACCACTCAAAAACCGGAAGTGGAGCTGTGGCTCAAGTGGTAGAGCACTCCCCTTGAGCTGAAGAGCTGAGGGACAGCACTGAAGCCCAGAGTTCAAGCCCCATTACCGACAAAAGAAAAAACAAAGAAAGAAAGAAAAGTATTAAGAAAGGACAGAACACTTAAAATTTTTTAACAATGAAATGGGGGTAGAAGTAGGAAAAATGCATCACAAATAAAAACACAAAGAAAGGAATGAGGTAGTGCAGGGGAGGGGAAGGGAAGGGAAGGAGAGAGAGAAAAGGAAGGGGAGGAGAAAAGGGAAGGGAATGAGGGAAGGTAAGGGGAGGGGAAAAGGGAAGGGAAGGGGGAAGGAAAAAATATCTCACATGATGATGGATTTGTCATTAACATTCATCCTTTGTATCCCCAGTGCTAGCGCTTAGTTAGCTCTAAACAAGTATCTATTGAACAACTACATTTAGAATCATAGAAATTTAGTGAAATTTCACTTCATAATTCTTTTTTTCACTACTTATTTCCATTTATTTCTGCTGCATTTTCTATTCTTTTTTTAATTTTATTGTCAAGGTGATGTACATAGAATTTATAGTTACATAAAAATAGTGAGTATACTTCTTGTCGAACTTGTTACCCCCGCCCTCATTTTTCTCCCATTTTCACTCCTCCCAATTGCCCTTCCCCCAAGTTGTATAGATCATTTCCAGCATATTATCTTGTGAGTCATCTCATAATTTTTAATGTCATTGCATTCACACTGCATCAATTTCTTTTAGGAAGTTTTCTGGTTATTAAAAGTAAATAAGTAAAATTGTGAATTTTTAATTATTCTACTAAACCAAGGAATGATACTTGGCAAGTATGAATATATATAGTATTTCTGTGTGAGACAGATCATATATGCAAATGTAGTAAATTATCTTACAGTTCACTGCTGGTAAATATGAGATATCAAGGAAGAAAGTAATATGCTAGCTAGCATAAACTCCTTTAACTTTATCTCTCAAGTTTAATGTTGGTGGTTATTGATTAAAACTAAGCATCTGCTTAAATGCTTACAGTGTATGAAAATATCACTTGTATTTATAGGTAGCACAATATTCTAATAACTTGGGCTCTGCTGCAAATTATGGACTTAGTCTTTGTAAATCTTTGTAAATCATTTAAATTATTGGAGAAAAAGAATTTATGGAACTTTTTGAATAATTAAATAGAAGCCCAAAATTTGTATGGCATGTTTTGTAATGTTTTTTCCATATGTATTGTCTTCATGAATGAGATAGTGAAGGCAGACATTGCCATTTTGCTAACAGGAAAACTAAAATGCAAAGAAGTGAAATGCCTTTCCAAGGTAGAAATAAAGCTCTAACTCTTATCCTGGTATTCTTTCTAATTTATACTGTCATTTTATTTATTTATTTGGTCGGTCGTGGGGCTTGAACTCTGGGCCTGAGCGCTGTCCTTCAGCTCTTCAGCTCAAGGCTAGCACTCTACCACTTGAGCTACAGCGCCACTTCCAGTTTTCTGATGGTTTATTGGGGATACGAGTTTCACGGACTTTCCTTCCCCGGGCTGGCTTTGAACCGTGAACCTCAAATCTCAGCCTCCTGAGTAGCTAGGATTACAGGCAATAGCCACCAGGTCCTGGCTAGACTGTCATTTTAATAGGATGAGAGAGGGGTAAGAAGACAAGAAAAGTCTAGTTATCCTGTTTTTTTAATGAGATTTCTACTAGATCATTCATTTTCTATGTTATGTCCAAAGAGTCTTCTGTATAGTTCAGTATGTTTATTAATAAATTTAATGTTATCAATGTTAGACCATTGGTTTTCTGTTGGTCCCAGGGTCTTCTTTGTGGCTTAGGGCATTTATTAAAATACTTAACTTTTTTTATTTTTATTTTTTTGAGTCCAGTCATCCCAAATACTTAACTTTTTTAAAGTTGTATTTTGCAAAATTCAAAAGCCTGTCATTGGAGGCAGTTGATGGTGCTTATTGGTAATGAATGTTATTAAACACTTGTAGAATAAGTAATGATGATTTAAAGTCTTGATCTAAATACTGCTTGTTGAAGAATTTAAAAAAATTAGTATTTTTTGGGCTGGGAAGGTGGCTCAGTGGTAGAGTGCTTGCCTTGCATACATGAGGCCCTGGGTTCGATTCCTCAGCACTACATAAACAAAAAGAAAAAAGCCAGAAATGGCGCTGTGGCTCAAGTGGTAGAGTGCTAGCCTTGAGCTGAAGAGCTGAGGCACAGCACCCAGACCCAGAGTTCAGGCACCACGACCGGAGCCCCTCCCCCCCCAAAAAAAATCAGTATTTTTTGTCATATGGTTATTGTCATACAAATTTCTGTGACATTTGCTAATCTGGCTAACCTATAATAGAGCCAGTGATCTAATGAGACATAGTGATGATTTACCTACCCACTTATATTTGGATTTTATAGATGTGTTTGTTGTAGTAAGTCTTGGATTTTCTCTTCATCTTCATGTATGGGATCAGAGGTCACACATATTTTTTTTTAATTTATTTTTTGGTGCGGTCGTGGGGCCTGAACTCTGGGCCTGGGCGCTGTCCCTCAGCTCTTCAGCTCAAGGCTAGCACTCTACCACTTGAGCCACAGCACCACTTCTGGCTTTTTTCTTTTTGCTTATGTGGTACTGAGGAATCGAACCCAGGGCCTCATACATGCAAGGCAAGCGCTCTACCACTGAGCCACCTTCCCAGCCCCATCACACATATTTTTAAGTATACCTTATACCTTATGAACATATTTTCCTCCTAAATGTAGTATTGTTTAGTGGTAGAGTACACGCGTAAGCATGTACAAGGCCCCAGGTTCAATTCTCTATACCACAAATATTTATTAAATATCTGTCCATCATTGAAACTATCATTTGGCTTATCAAAAAATATTTAATACTATTCTTAGTAAAATATTTAAATAGTTATATATTAAAACGACAGACTCTTCCAGATATATTTGAAAGGGTTTAATATGCGCAATTTCCCTGTTTACCTGATATAAGAAATACTTCAGAGCTGGGCGCTGGTGGCTCACACCTGTAATCCTAGCTACTCAGGAGGCTGAGATCTGAGGGTTGCAGTTTGAAATTAACCTGGGCAAGATTTTATCGTCAAGACTTACCTACAACAAAAATACCAGACTAGAGATGTGGCTCGTGGTAGAGCGCCATCCCTAAGAAAAAGGCTGAGTTTAAGCCCAGTACCAGCACACAAAAGAAAAAAAAAATACTTTTGCTAGTATGCCATTTTTTCTACACATACACAGGTGAATCTGTACCAGAATACCAGATGGCTTTTCAGACAGAAGTTGGAAATCATCCCACTTTTGAGGATATGCAGGTACTTGTGTCCAGAGAAAAACAGAGACCCAAGTTCCCAGAAGCCTGGAAAGAAAATAGCCTGGTAAGAAAAAAAAAAATCCTTAACTTACTAAGTAGAGGACTACTACTTGATATGTTTTAATATCCTTTGAACAGAAAATAAGCTGATAATGTTAGTAAGTTTTTAGCATTGTCTAGTACCAGAACTCCAACTAATTTTATTTTTATCATGATTTTTTTTATTAAACTCTCTTTTTTGTTCAATTTCAGTTTTTTCCACTTCTGTGGCCAAAGTAATAAATAGAGTAATTGGCATGTTAATATTTTATTTTATTGTAAATGCTGTACAGGAGAGTCACAGTTACGTGAGGTAGAAAATGGATACACTTCTTGTCAAACCTTGTTTAATGACTCCTCCCTTCAGGCCAGTATGGGTAAGTCAGCCATAAAGACTCTGGAGCTAGAAAGACTTGGGTTATTCCCTAGTTTGATACTGAAGTTTTTTTTTTTTTTTTGGGTCCGGTCGTGGGGCCTGAACTCTGGGCCTGGGCACTGTCCCTCAGCTCTTCAGTTCAAGGCTAGCGCTCTACCACTTGAGCCACAGTGCCAATCTGGCTTTTTTCTTTTTGCTTATCTGGTGCTGAGGAATCGAACCCAGGGCCTCAGGCATGCAAAGCAAGCGCTCTACCACTGAGCCACCTTCCCAGCCCCATACTGAAGTTATTTAACTCACTGAACCCCATTTCCTCTTTTTTTTCTTGGTCTATAAAGTTTATGAGTTTATGAGCTTTGACAATACAGTTATTTCTTCCATACGGGATGATATGTACATTTCTTTCATTTTGCTTAGTGTCAGCTGTTCCCTCTTTCCCACTTATTCCCTCCCTCCCAACGCTGCCATTGAGTTGCTTAGCTCATTTTAATCAATGACCAGTGCAGCTGATGGGTCCCACTGTTGTATGTTTTCCCATTTCCCTCTGTTTCTGTGTCCTCTTCCTAGTTTCCCTCCAGTGTGCACAAGTACCATATATGTGGTCAGCAGCATGGGGTCATTTAGTAATGATTCGACCAGATAAGTGGAGGTCCTTTATTTCTCAAGTCTTGTTTACTTTGTCGTATCTCCTTACATTTTGGATTTAACATCCACTTATCAGGGAGACCACATGCCATTTGTCTCTTTGCTCTTGGCTTACCTCACTCAACATCGTTTTTCTAGTTCCATCCATTTCCCTGTGAATGCCAATATTTTGTCCTTTCTAATGGCTGCATAATATTCCATTGTATATAGGTACCACAATTTTTGGATCCATTCATTTGTAGTGGGGCATCTGGGTTGTTTCCATATCCTGGCTATTGTAAACAGTGCTGCAATAAACATGGAGGTGCATGTGTTCTTGTATTCTGGTTCCTGTTGTTCAGGATAGATGCCTAGGAGTGGTATGGCTGGGTCATAGGGGAGGTCTACATTTAGCTTTCTGAGGACCCTCCAGACTGCTTTCCGAAGTGGTTATATTAGTGTACATTCCCATCAGCAGTGCAATAGAGTTCCTCTTTCTCTGCATCCCCTCCAGCATATGTTGTTGGGATTTTAATGGGAATTGCATTGAACTTGTATATCAATTTTGGCAGTATGGCCATTTTCACTATATGCCTATCCAAGAACATGGAAGGTCTTTCCATTTCCTGGTGTCCTCTTATAATTTCTTTCTATAAGTTTTTATAGTTTTCATTAAGTAGTTCTTTTTACACCTTTGGTTAGGTTAACTCCTAAATATTTTATTTTTTGAGGTTATTGTAAATGGGTTGTTTCCTTGATTTCCCTTTCTGCTTGTAATTGTTGTTGTACAGAAAGGCAACTGATTTTTGTGGGTTGATTTTGTATCCTGTCACTTTGCCAAAGTAGTTTATAAGTTCTAAGAGTTTGGGGGTGGAGTGTTTGGGATCATGGGGATATAGTTTCATGTCATCTGCAAAAAGAGATAGTTTAACTTCTTCCTTCCCTATGTGGATCCCTATAATGTCTTTTTCTTGCTGTATTGTCTAGCAAGAATGCCAGAAGTATATTGAAGAGGAGTGATTAGAGTAGGCATCCTTTCCCCATTAAGTATAATAATTGGCTATTGGTCTGTTATATAATATATGGCTTTTCTTATTTTAAGGAATGTTCCTTCTACTCCTATTTCCTCCAGAGCTTTTAATGGGTATGAATGTTATATCTTATCAAAAGCCTTTTCTGCATCCCTGCATCTCTGGGATGAAACCTACTTGGACTTCTAGTGATATCTATCTGATGTGGATCCCTGTTCTTTTCTTTTTTTTTTTTTTTTCCGGTTGTGGGGCCTGAACTCTGGGCCTGGGCACTGTCCCTCAGCTCTTCAGCTCAAGGCTAGTGCCCTCCCACCTGAGCCACAGCGCCACTTCCGGCTTTTTTCTTTTTGCTTATGTGGTGCTGAGGAATCGAACCCAGGGCCTCATGCATGCAAGGCAAGCGCTCTACCACTGTCCCAGCCCCATGGATCCCTGTTCTTGATTGCATTCTTCAGGTTGTGTTCCCCCCTTAGTAGTCTTTGATTCTTTTTTTTGGCTAGTCGTTGGGGCCTGAACTCTGGGCCTGGGCGCTGTCCCTCAGCTCTTCAGCTCAAGGCTAGCACCACTTCTGGCTTTTTTTTCTACTTATGTGGTGCTGAGGAATCAAACCCAGGGCCTCATACGTGTGAGACAAGCACTCTACCACTGAGCCCCCTTCCCAGCCCTTAGTAGTCTTTGTAATGCTGGCCTATTGTTTATGAATTCATTTAATTTTTCTTCACTATTGGAAATTTTCATTTCTCCATGGAATGTGAATGCTAGCTTTGCCGGGTGTATCTGGTCTGGCAGTTATTGCTTCTCAGGGCTCAGATTGTACTTTATCAGGCTTTTCTTGCATTCATTGTTTGTGTGGAGAGATCTGCAGTGAGTCTGATTTTTTTTTGTATTATAGTATAGCTCATTCTTTGTTTTTGCTGCATGCAAGATTGTCTCTTTATCATTCAGATCTATCATTTTTACTATAATGTGCCTAGAAGTGTTTCTTCTGGGATCCTGCTTGTTAGGTGTTCTATATGCTTCTGTTATGTAGGTATGATGTTCTCTTTTAAGATGGGGGAAATTTCCATTGATAATCTTACTGAATAGGTGTTGCATTCCCTTGCTCTGATATTCCTCACCTTTGTGCACTCCAATTATACGAAGGTTAAATTGCTTGGCACTGCTTGCTCTTGGATTTCCCTTTGGCATAATTTAAGTGATTTTTCCCTATTTGTGACTTTTTTTTTTCCAGTTGTTGCGTTTTGTCTCCCGTATCTGATATTCTATTTTCCATTTCGTTCACTCTGTTACCTATGGCTTCCATTGTGGTTTGCATGGAGGAAATTGAGCCATTTATGGTTTCTATGTTGGTTCTCAGAATATTAATCTCATCTCTTAGCGAGGTGTGTACTGCATCCATTTTTGCATGCATCCTGTTTGAAATCCTGCACCTCTTTTGACATTTCGTTTCTGTGTTCTTTAAATTTTGGATCTAGGGCTGGGAAGGTGGCTCAGTGGTAGAGCGCATGCCTTACATGCCAGAGGCCCTGAGTTCTATTCCTCAGCACCACATAAGCAAAAAGAAAAAAGCCAGAAGTGGTGCTGTGGCTCAAGTGGTAGAGCGCTAGCCTTGAGCTGAAGAGCTGAGGGACAGCGCCCAGGCCCAGAGTTCAGGCCCCACGACCGGACCCCAAAAAAGAAATAAAATAAAATAAATTTCTTGCTTTAATTTTTGAGTCATTGCCTCCAGCATCTCTTAGATGTAGCACAATTTTTCTCTGTGATTTTCACAATGGGATTCAGGGATTATTGGAGACCAATCTGAAACTCTGACTGTTTTGGTCAATAGGTGGCTGTCTTTGCTTGGTTCTGGGTTGGTTCCTGGATCAATTGATGAAGCTCACTCTCGGCCCTGGGTTGGCTGAGAGAGTCTATACCTGGTCTCTGTTCTGTTGGGGGAGAGGCCGACCTCCAGCTGCTAGTCTGACCCACATAGGGCTCTCAGGTGTCTTCTGGAGATCACAGGCAGTTCCTGCCTTTAGCCAAGGACTGAGCAGCCCCAGACTGCTTGTGCTTACTCCTATGGGTGCTCTTGGCAAGAATGGGTGTGCTGGATCTACTCTCCCAGTTGCTGGAGTCTGCTGTGAGTTCCTGAGTATAATCAGATGCTGGCGGCCTGAGCTGTACAATCCCCAGCTTGGGCTACATAGGTCAGGTTTGGTGCGTTTGGGCTTCTGGTTCTCCCACCCTGAACACCGAGGTCTTTTGGCATCATAGGTATGGTTCCCAGGGAGTGTGGTTCCCTGCTTTCCCCCCTCTGCTGAGGCGTGTGCTCAGCTTCTGACTTCAATGGGGACTGGTAGATTGTGTAACTGATCCCAAGGCCTGGCCCTGGCTCCCAGTCCCCCAGCTGGGGCACACCAATTGGATCTGTGCTGCTGGGTATTCCACCCAGGGTATGCAGCCTGGGGTACACAGTTTGTATTTCTTCTTCTGCTGGCTGCTGTGGCCCACAGGTGCTGTTTCTGGTTTGGGCATTCACACTCCCTCCCAGGGGTGATCTTGATCAAGCCTGGTGGGCTGGATGTATTCCACAGGCTGGTGGGGTGCTTGCACAGTTCCCAATTTTGGGGACCTGTAGTCCAGGTGGTGGTGCGCGGGGTGGGGGGGGGTCTAGGTCAAGCGAGCACTGGTCTTCCTTGGCTAGGATGCTGTCCCCTGCAGGGTACTCACCGTGGAGCTAGTTGGGAACTCTCCAGCGGTGCTGTGGCAGATTGCTGTTTTCTGTGCAATGTAGGTTGCTGGTTGCCACTGCGCTCTGTGTTTGGTTGAGATGCTTGTGGGCTGGGCTGGGTGGGTGGTGGCCACTCTGGATCTGTTTCTCCCTGTCTCTGCCTCTGTGATGCTGTCCAGGTCAGCACTGCGGGCATTTTTTGCGCTGGCAGCCCGCTGAGGGGGAAGGGTCTTCACGCAGGTTCTGAGCTCCGAGGGTTCTGTCTGTTTGCGCTCTGCGAGTCTGCACTGGCACCTGGGAGTCTTCTGCACTCGTGTTCTGCGGATGGATCCCTGTAGTCCTGGGGCCCCCCCTTGGCCATAAGGACCAGTGGCTTTGGCAGGACAGGGCGGCACCGCTCTGGTGAAGGATGGGGGAAGGGTCTTTGTGCAGGTTCCAAGCTCCGAGGTTTCTCAGTGTGCAATCAGCCGGTCTGGCGCCGGCACCTTGGGTGCTTCTGCGCTGGTGTTCTGCAGACAACCCACTGTTGCACTGGGGTCTCTGGCAGCCCCTGCCAGGCCTGGCCAGCCGCGGTTTGGCGCATTGCTGTGTAGCCAGCAAAGGATCGGAGAAGGGCTTTCACACTTTTCCATTCTGAATTTCTTCCTTTTCTTTCTTTTTTTCACCTCCTGTTTTTCTCTGGGTGTTCATCTTTTTGCTGTTGTTGGTCTCTTGGGGAAATTAAGCGTTGGAACTTCAACTCTGTTTGATTGGATAGAGCTGTGGTGTTTCCCTACTGTCCTGTTGCCATCATGGCCCCCCCTCTCCACATGTTAATATTTTAGATATTATTGAAATTTTATCTTATGTTCTTGAAAATACCAAAAATGTTAACCAGGTAGTACAAACCTACATTTTGAATGGCTAATAAAAATTTAAGTTAGAACTAAAAGAAATGAAAGTACAGGCTATGAATTATGCTTATTAAAAATGACTACCTATGGCTTACACTTGTAATCCTAGCTACTCAGGAGACTGATATCTGAGATTGTGGTTCAAAGCCAGGTCAAACAGAAAATAAAATTTGTGAGACTCTTTAATCACCAAAAAGTCATAAGTAGAATGATATCCTTGAGTAACAAATAGCTCAAGGACAGTGCACAGTCCCAGAGTTCAAGCACCAGTACTGGTACGTACACACACACACACACACACACACGTAATTCACAGGCCAGTATGGTGGCATATACTTGTAATCCCAGATACTTGAGAGGTAGAGGTCAGAGGATACAGTTGGGGTTGAATCTGAACAAACTTAGGGAGACTCCTAGACAAAAACAAGTTGAACATAGGAACACTCATTTATGGTTCTAGCTACTCAAGAGGTAGAGGTTGACGAAGTTAGCTTGATTCTGAAAAATAAATGAAGCAAAAGGTCTTAGGTATGGTGCATATGCTTGCCTATGAAACATGAGACACTAAATTCAATACCCACCATGAACTGTGTCTTTTTTAAAGGCTTCTGTAATTTGATAAATAGTTGTAATACTTAAAAACATCTAACATTAACATTTATACATATACATACATATATACACATATACACAGAGCATTAATAAGACAGGATTGTTTTATATGAATAGGATTAACTATCAACTGTCATTTCTGAAGATTATTTTTTACTTATAAATAATTTCCTTGTGTGCTGATACCAGAACTTGAACTCAAAGCTTTGCTTGCACTTTTGCTCAGATTTTTTTGCTCATAGCCAGAGCTCTACCCTTGAGCCATCCCTCCATTCCAGTGTTTTCTGGTTAATTGGAGATTAGAGTCTCAGATTTTTCTATCTAGGCTGATTTTGAAACTCAATGCACAGATCTTAGCATCTTGAGTAGCTATGATTACAGCTGGGAGCCGCTGGTACCCAGTAATAATTTCTAATGTAAATACCTATATTTGTATCTCATTTTCTCCATTGGCTCTTATTCTGTTGCATAAAATACTATACATATTGTACCCTTTCTGTTTTAAAAGAATTAAAGTTTTGTTTGTATGTAGAAAACAAAATAAAATTTAATGAAAAAGAAAGGAAAACCTTGCCTTTCTCAAAAGTAAGTTTTGGGACTGGGAAGGTGGCTCAGTGGTAGAGCGCTTGCCTTGCATGCCTGAGGCCCTGGGTTGAATTCCTCAGCACCACATAAGCAAAAAGAAAAAAGCCGTAAGTGGCGCTGTGGCTCGAGTGGTAGAGCGCTAGCCTTGGGCCGAAGAGCTGAGGGACAGCGCCCAGGCCCAGAGTACAAGCCCCACGACTGGACCCAAAAAAAAAATTTGTGGATACAATCAAAAGTAATTTTTGGAGCCTTCTGAATTATTTTTCTTTTCCAGAAATTATCATTATAAGTGAAAATACTTTAAATACTATTTCTATTCTTATTCTTTTCTTTTTGGGTCCGGTCATGGGGCCTGAACTCTGGGCCTGGGTGCTGTCCCTCAGCTCTTCAGCTCAAGGCTAGCGCTCTACCACTTGAGCCACAGCGCCA